GAAATTTGGCAAGAATCAGTACAGGAAATTTATAAATTCTGTGTTGATAACAATTTACCAAATATGTGAGCTTACTTGTGATTTAGTTGATACAAGAAAGAAATCTATATTTTATAGACATGATCAGTAGCAGAAAAAATTTGTATATTTTATACAACTATGCTTTTAAAATTCTACTAAAAAGTGTTAAAATGGAATAACTTACCCAAATTTTTTTGACCAAAACTTGATTTAATAGTTTATATTCTTCTTACTCATTTGATTCCACATTATCAATAACAATACAACAAGTATATTAATGGTTATATAAGATCTTCATGGAGAAAGGACTTTAAAAAAAAGTAAAATAGTTTACGAAAACAGAATATTAATAATAAATATTTTACTAATACTGAAAACTGAACATATTCTTGTTTAGAGTTTTTAAAAATCCAGTTTTTTCTTTGCAAACACTTAATTAATTATTCACAATTTATTAATATTAATAATCTTTTTTTTTTCTTCAAAATTCAACAACAAGGCATATATCCATTTATATTTTTACTAACATCAATATTAACAAATGCTAATATTAATACTAAAGAATCTAATTTAAACAAAGGTAAAGATATAATACATATTTATATATATATACATATTTATATATATACTAATATAAAAAATTTAATTATAGAAACTACATTGGTACTGGTATTAAATAATTTGATAAATACTGAACCATTTCAATCTTTAAATTCAACAGATAATGATAATAGCCAAACAATGCAATTATTCAAGTATTATAAATTAATTTTAAATGATACATTAAAAATCATAGAAGAACAAGAAAATATTGGCAACAAGTGGTGAGCACAAGCAGTTCAAACAAGTTTCGAAAGTGTAAAAAATTTGATAAATAATATTAATAAGTATTAAAGATAGATTACAAATTCATGTATCTAGAAGGATCACAATAGGCATACAATGTATTTAAGATAATGATAAAATTCATTTTTTTAACAATAAGCTTGTAATGATTTTTTAATATTATAAATATTTTATCGCTTTATAGTTCTCAAAATATATATGTATTAAATTAAATGCCTTTAATTCAAACTGTTATTCAAAATTTGCATATATGCAGTATCAGAGCTGAAATTACTATCTATATTGCTAATAACTCTGTTATGGTTGACATTGGCCATTTTTTTTACCTCTAATGCTACTACTTCTTCTAGCCAATTTTGTGTTTCATTTGTTAACATTCATTCTATATTCATATTTTTATCTGTGTACTTGTAGCATCATCAATATATGTCAAATATTTGTTCTTGTTTCTTAATATATTCCTCTTTAGAGTTTCTACTATTTTTTGTATAACATTCTCTCTATTTCTATATTCTTTAGCATTTTAAGTTCTATTAGCTTTTGTTTATTTTTTCTCTATTCTTTTATTCTTATGTTGTCTTAATCATATTGTTGCTTTTTACTATTAGTATATCTGGAATCACTTTTATTTTGTCATTAATTCTTATCCAATACTGGCAGCTGTCTTTTATCATTTTTTCTCTACTTGTACATCTGTTGCATTTGCTAATTTTAGTTACTAGGTCATTCTTTATACTTTGCATTTGTTAGTATTTTATTAGTAACTTCTTTTTTTCTTTCTAATTACTTTTTCTATTTGTCTATTATATTTTGCATCATATATTATCTATTTTTTTCTTCTTCTATCTTTAGACAAACTTTCTCATTTGATTTTTATTGCTTGTGTATTGTGTCTGTTTGTCTTAAAGAATTCTTTAAGCTTTCTGCTTTCTGATCTGCTAAGTACTTTTGTTTCTATTATTTTGAACTATTTAGCTTTTTTATCTTTGCTTGATTGTTTCTGATAACTTTTAAACTGCTGCCATGTTATTAATTTTTTCCTTTTTACATCAAGTAGCTGATTTAAATATATTAAGTTTGTATTATTTATTTTGGCATTACTTTTTTTTTACAATCATGTTTCTAATAGTTTAACTATTTTATAACTATAGCTACTTGTTGTTCATAGCTCACTTTCTGTATTTATATTTATTTTTAGCTCTTTTGCTTTAATTATTGTTAAACAAGCCAAATTTTTCTTTTAATATAACATATTTTCTGATAGCTTTTCTAATTTCTATATATCTTCTATTAACTTTGCATTTTGGCAGCTTTGTATTATTCTTAATTTTGTTAACTGTTTCAGCTTATTTTTCTTATTTAGTCTTGCTAACAGACCTTTTACTTGTTTTATTGTTAATTTCTGTTGCAATGTTTTATAGCTGCCAAAATACTTATGTTCTATTATACAGTTTTTTAGTATTCTTATTAAGTTGTTTTTTTGGTTTACCAGACATATTATTGGTTGATGTATTTCATTTATTCCTTTTTCTAACATTTTGTTAATTGCAATATGTAGCTAACTTTAGTATTATCACCATATTGTTTATATATACTATCTGACTTATTGTTATTTTCCTGTATCTAAGGTCTTTTACTATTTGGCTTATTATTTTTTTTACTTTTTTTTTACTAGAACTTCTCTTATTTTGTTGTTTAGCTAAATTTTTAATAAACAAACTATTTTGTTTTTTTTGACTCTTTTATTATCTTAGTACCTTCAAATATTATTATTATTTTTTTTTTTTGGTTTTTTCATTTTTATTATCAGTTTTGACTTGAATCTATTTATCTCTATATCATTTATTTTAAAGAACTCTTCTGCTATTTTTAGTATCTCTAATAGCTATTTTTTGTTGCTTGCAATTTATATTGTATCATTTGCATATGCAATTGCTGCTTGATAATAGATTGTGATATTATTGCAGTATATTTTTTTTTTGTTTTTTGTTCTACTATACGGCCTAATTTTTTATCTTTTTGTATTTTTTTTAATAACAGGTTATAGAAGAAGCACTATATTAGTAGTGTTATTACTTTATTTTGATCTATTTTATCTTCTGCTATTATTTTTTCTGTTAGACTATAAGCTGTAATTATTCTTAGTTGTATTTTATAAAAGAAATTTAAAATGTACTTGGTTGTATTTTGACTCTTTGAAGGGCTAGTTCAAAACTTTTAAGTGAGACTAAATTAAATACCTTTTTTATATTTTACAGAAGTATTCATAATTCTTTGTTCTTTTTTTTTGCTTTTTCTATTATTATATTCAAAACATGTACTAGTTGTTTTGTTAAGTTTTTTGAAAGGCCTGCATAGTTTGGTCCTTTAAGTATTTCTTTTTCAATGAATACTTTGCTGAGTCTCTTGTTATTACCTTTGTTATAATTGTTCTAAATATCTCAAATAATGTTATTAGTTGAATGTTGTTTAAACTATAATATTAATAAATATAATATACATATGTATATATATATTAAATATATATATGTTGTAAGTGGATTTGGAATTTTATAGATTCCGAATCCACTTAAGTGATGATCAGATCTTAAAATGACTTAAGTGGTGATAGAATTTCATATGAATATAATTTTTTGATTAATTAATAATTATGATGATGCATTATATAGTATTTAAAGCGATTGAATTATTAATAAAATAATTATATCTTTAAATTGCTTTCTATTGAAATGTTAAATGAAGAATATCTATTTATTTCAAGACTAGCTTTTAATGACTTGGTTAATAAATATCTTGAAGGAAAATTACTAAATAGGTATCGTAAAACATTTATTTCACAAACTGATTATGATCTTATTATTTCAGTTCTTCATGAACCTAATAACCTAAACTTGGAAACTCTCAAAGATCGACATTGGATTAAAAGTACCTTTAAACTTAGAAAATTGGAAACTAAAAACAACCTAATTACACAAATAACTATAGTTGCAAAGAATAAAAATAGATCAGAATTAATATTTACAATATGTCCTTTCAACTGTCTCTATGACATATTATGCAAGTTTTATATAGGCATTTTAAAACATATTGAATCATTTAAAATATAGGATGTAGTAAGTAAATTTATTAACAATTATCATTATCATTATGAAATATTTTAATTTTAATATGTACAAATCTGTTTAGATTAGAAAGCAATATGATTATATTTCACAGTCATTTATTAAAGAATTTTGTAGTGCATGTAAAACATATGCCACATGTTGATTATTTCCTAATGATCTTTCTGCCAAATCAATTGTGGCATCGAATTTTCTCTCTCATGTTCAAGTTGATCTGGTTGAATTAACATTTCAGCCTGTTAATAAGTACAAATATATTTGTCATATTCATGACCACTTCACTAGGTTCTTTTGAGCCTAGTGTCTTACAAGCAAGCATGCCTCTAAAGTATCTATATTCCTTTATGATATTTTTATAGTATTTGAGGCTCCTATAATTTTACAATCAAATAATGGTAAAGAATTTATTGCAGATATTATTTTTGAATTGATAGCCTTTTGGCCAGATACACATATTATTAATAGGCATCTTAGACATCCACAATTACAAGAAATAGTTGAAAGAGCTAATAAAATACTGCAAATTAAGCTCAGAAAATAAATGGAAGATAACCAAACAAGTAACTAGACTGAAGGATTACCATTAATCATATGTATGTATCAATAAAATAACTACTTGCATTAATACTAATTTTTTTTTTTATATAATATAAAAAAATTTTTTTATATATTTAGATACAATGAATATTCAAACAAATTATGCAACAGGCAAATTACCATATTCTCTTGTATTTGGACAAGAACTGGTTCAACATTTTTCAATACTTGAAGATCTATACTATAAAAGTATTACTAATAAGGAAGAATTGCCTGAAATTTTTTTTGAGAATTCTGGTACATATATACTGTATACTATAGTTAATAATCTGGTTTTGAATATTTAAAAAAAACTAAAACCTTTTTATTAGATCAATCTAAACTCTTATTGCTGAATTAATTCGAATTTTCACTATTATATCAAGCTGAATCTTTATTATCAGAATCTTCATTGCAAATTCAAACCAGATCTCTATCATCATATCAAACTAAATCTCTATCGTTATATCAAGCTAAATTTTCAACATTATATCAAACCGAATCTTCATTATTATATCAAATTGAATCTTTATCATTATATCAAACTGAATCTCTATTGTCATGTTAAACTGAATCTCTACTACAATATCAAAATGATTCTTTATTGTCATATCAAATTGAATCTTCACCACAAAATCAAATTGAATCTTCATTACAAAATCAAACTAAATCTCTATCACCAAGTCAAGTCTTGTCTCTATTGTTAAACAATACTAAATCTTTACCTAAATACATTAAACTTTTATCAAGTCAATCTGAATTTTTGCCACTAACTAGTCTTAAAAACAATGTATGTACATGCTATTCATAGTAGTTCTATTATAAATATATACTATATATAATATTTTTTTTAAATATAGTTTAATATACAAGAAGTGTTATCATCAAATATTCAATCACACTACCAACTTTTTTATAAATATGCAAATCAATCACTTGTTATCTATCAGGACTGAATGAAAAATCAAATGCTAAATAAAAATAAACATTAACTTGAATATACCATTAATGAATATGTTTGTATTGCAATTCCAAAAATAGATTGTAACAACATTGACCAGCACACTTTACCCTGCAAAGTAATTAAAAAATTACCAAACAAGATATACTATTTGCAATGTAAAAATGGAATCATTGACACAACTTTTAATGCAAATGAACTTATGCCATTGGGTTCAAATAAATATAAGGAGCTGGAAGTTTGCAAAATAATGTTATTAGTGTTCAAAAAGCAGCAAGAATGCAATCAATATCAACTGTAACAGGAGTAAATTGTAATTGTAAAGGCAAATGCAAAAATAACAACTGTAAATGTAAATGTTCTAATATACTATATGGAAGTAGTTGTCATCTACATAGTTTAAAATATAAAAATAAAAGGTAATTCCTTGAATTAAATAATGCTCAATAATATAATTATTTTTTATTAATAAATAATTTTTAATCATTTAATTTTCATTAATTATTTTTATTAATAAATAATTTTT